TGACAAGTGCTAAGGGCCTGAGTTCAATCCCCAGTTCTGCCAAAAAGAAAAGGTCCTTTAAAGACTTCTCCAAATATAGCCTCTCTAGCAGCAATGGAATACCTATCTCTGACAAAATAAAACAAAATAGGGGGATATAAATAAAGGACCATTTTGTAGTGAAAAAAATATATCTGTATAGACAAAATAGGATAGATATATAGCTACTTTCTCTCAGTTCAGTCAGAAGAAAGGTTTGCACTAATATTGTTTAGACAAGATATCACATCTCCATCTTGTCCTCTGATTAAGCACTATGAAGACAACAATATGCACTGTATTAATTATTGTAACTGTCCTACTAACCTTTTTTGAAACTTTTTCATTGCTATTTTATTTCCTCTTTAAAATGAATAAAAAATAATATTTACAAAAACCAAATCTATTATATGTGACTTTTTATGTGTGTTTTCCTCTCTGGAAATTTTCATCTCATCTCTTTATTCTATATGTTGAAATTTAATAATGAAGTGCCAAATACTACCTGGACCCTTTAAATCTAGAATCTAGAAACTCTTATCTATGTTCCAGGAACATTTCTCATGATTTTTTCCCATTTTTCCAACAATCAATTTCTCTGTGTGTGTATATCCCTCCCTCCCTTCATCCCTCCCTCATACTCTCATATAGTGGTTGGGAATTGAACCTAAGACATTCAAACAAAGCTACAACCCAGTCCTTTTCTTAATTTTTATGTATTTATTTCTTTACTTAAAGACAGGATCTTGCTAAGCTGGTAAATTGCCCAGGCTGGGTTTCAATTTATGATCCTTCTGCTTTGACTTCCCAGAATATTGGGATTACAAGTATGTGCTACCAGGCCAAGGTCCTTTGTTTTCTTTTCTGAAAGTTCATGATTTAGAAACTGGGCCTCCTAGACAGAATCTCTAATTTTTGGAACTTTTCTCTTTTATTTTTATTTTATTTTATTTTTAATGAACTTAGAACAGGGTGTACAGGGTCTCATTACATAGATTGGATTTTGAGTGATTCTCCTGCTTTCAGCCTCCCAAGTGCTGGGATTATAGGTATGTGCCACCACGCCCAGTGTCAATCCCTGTCTCAGCAAGCCCAGGGGGCAGGGCCAGCACAGCTTGCTGGGGATCAAAACCCTGGCCACTGTGCTCTGCCAAAGCAGGTACTTTAGTCCACTGAGCTATCTGGCTGGCCCCTCTCCTACTTTTATTCCATTGTCGTTCTACTTTCAGGAAAATATCCTCTAACCTCCATGTCACATATATTCCCTTTCTCATTTTTAATTTTCTAGAGCTACTTGAATTGCTGCATTCTGTTTTGTACTTGTTTCTCCCTTTTTCTCTGTAGACAGCAAGCAACATTTTCTTTTGCATACCTACTTATTCCAAGTTTCTTTCATGAGATGTTTATTCTAGTCTCTATGGAAGGCTTTTTGTTTGTTGATAGTCAGCTGTTTCAAAGTACTGTGCAGGGTCTGTTGATTACCAGGTTCACTTGTAGAACCAAGTACATAATCATCTTATGCAGTTTCATAGTTTCAAATGTATGTATCTCCTAATTCTAAAATTGTACTTCCAGCCAAATAGCTCAGGGGATTAAAGTGCCTGCAAGCAGGCAGAAGGGCCAGGGGTTTGATTCCCGGGCCTGCTGTGCCGGCCCCGCCCCTGGGGCATGCTGAGAAGGCAATTGAGACTGGGCATGGTGGCACATACCTGTAATCCCAGCTCTCGGGAGGCTGCAAACAGGTGGATCACTATGAGTCCAATCTAGTAGTGAGACCCTGAACACCCTGTAGACCCTTCCCTAAAATACAAAAAATAAATAAAAAATAAAGGGCCAGGGAGATGGCTCAATAGAATAAGCACTTCCCTGGCAAGTGCAAGGGCCTGAGTTCAATCCCCAGTTCCACCAATAAATAAATAAATAAATAAATAAATAAATAAATAAATAAATTGTGATACCTACACTTCACTCAGGAACCCCAGACATTTATCCATGCATTTATATCTGTATGGTGCTGGGGATTGAACATAGGGTCTTTATACTGATCTTTATTCCCAGCCCCTGTTTATTTTTTTTTATACAGGCTCTCACTAAATTGCTGAGCTGTCCACAGTGAGCTTCAACTCAGGATACTTGTCTCAATTTCCTGGAATGATGAGATTACAGGTGTGTGCACCACACCTACCTAGAACTCCAGATTTCAGTATCACCATTTAGATATCTAAAAGGCATCTCTAACTTCAAAAAGTTCATCTATAGATGCCTAACTACTCAACTTTCATACCTGCATAACATTTCCCATTTTATTCTTACCTAAAGGAGTAGACTGAAAACAAGAAGGATTTTTTTGCACACGTTATATATCAATTCAACCTACAAACAACTTTCATATCAACGTATGTTCAGAGTCTGAAAATTTCTCACCACTTTCACTGTTCTAGCTGTACCTCAAAATACTAACACTAACATCTTGTTTGAATGAGAGAATCCCATCTCCATTTTATGATCAAAAACACGTATCTAATCATTTTACTGTCATGGTTCAGACTACTTGAGTGCTCTAATTTGGGCCATACAAAACTCTTCATGATTTTCCTCCTTCTTGGCCTCATCTATTCAACTAATATATATGTACATGCCAAATTTATCAAATGTCATACTTCCAGGAACTTCTCTGTCCTGTCTGCCATTTTAGAATGTCTGTATTTCTCTTTTGTACCCCTAGGAAATAAGCCACTACTTCTAACAACATCCGTGTTTGCCTTAATTATATTATGCTAACAAGCAAGGAAACTTTTTTGTGATCTACGGATTACATAAAGTAGAGTCTCTAACATGGAAACCATGAACAGGCTTTAGAAACAAACAATTGGAAGAACATGCATCAATCCTTGAATACTAACTGTGTATGTAGCATGCATAGATAATTCTACCATTCTGGGAAGCTGAGACAGGCAGATTTTAAGATGATCCCATTCTGGAAAACTTAGCAAGACTGTGCCAACAAAAATAAATAAATTTACAAATCGGTCAAGCAATGGCCGTGACTCATCCACATGGCTGACACTGACAAAGGATCTACAAACTGCAGTACAGGGTTTCAGGATAAATCCTGAAGGGATTTGACTGACCTTATCAGATACAAAAGTTACATTTCTTGTTATATAAGGCTTGCTTTATCTTGGTCTTAACCATCCAGCAGAAAAGTATAAAAACAAAGTATAAAAAGTAAAGCCATATTAATATGCTGAGCTATAAAAGGCTCAAGTAAACAACTTCTGGCATTGCCAGTCTTACAGAAAACCCACTACTGTTATGGACTACTGGACTACATTGGAATATTTTGCTGAATTCATGCACCTACAATATTGAAATGACAATGGAATACCCTTCTCTGATAAAATTAAACAAAAAAAGGGTATACAAATGAACGACCATTTTGTATCTGTATATTCAAAATAGTTAGAATAGATATACAGCTACTTTCTCATAATTCAATGAATAGAAAGATTTGTTCTAATAGTGTTTGTGGACAGGATATCATGTCTGCATCTTACACAATGAATAATCACTAAGACAACAATATGTAATGTATTAATTATTGAAACTGTCCTACTAATCGGTTTTGAAACTAATTGCTATTTGTTTCTCAATAAAATTGTTTTAAAAAATAATAAAATTTAATGGGCTGAAAAGATAGCTCAGCGGTCTCAGCTCCTGCCTGGCAAGCACAAGGACCCAGGTTTGATTCCTAGTACAGCATTCCACACTGGCCCTGAAAGGTTCTGGGTGTGCCCTGCTGGCCACTGGGCATAGTGGTGCATGCCTATAATCCCAGATCTGGGGAGGCTGAAACAGGAGAATCACTATGAGTCCAAGCTGCACAGTAAGACCCTGTACCAAATAAATAAAAGAAAAAAATAATCAAATAAAATTTAAAAGGGTTAAAGTATCTCTGTGTAAAGCCCCTGGGTTAAATCCTAGGACAACAACAAAAAAATCTTGAAAACTGATTTTTAAACCTTGTATGCAGTTCATACTCATGTCCTAATAGGAAGAAATGTCATCAGGTCCTCCTATGATTTAGGAAGAGTTAAAAACTAAAACCCTAGGTGGTTAGGTTCTTGTAGGAAAGAATTAAGTCTTGTCCATTTTTCATCTCTATATCTCACACTTACAGAGCATGCAGGTTAGTTAAAGCACATCTTTGTACATACTAGTAAATATAACATGTGAGTAGGTAGAAGCAACGAATAGGCAACTTTGGGTCTTCGGCTAGGCAGTGATCTGGATTTTTTTTTTTACATTCTTTAGGCAACTTTGGGTCTTCGGCTAGGCAGTGATCTGGATCTTCAATGTTCCTTGAAAGTATTATCATTTTCTTAAAGAAACTTAAAACTTTGTAATTCTCATCAATATATACTCACTGAATATATGTTCCTAAAAATGAGATTATGTCTGGTGCTTTAGTCTAATCTTGTCATATTAGGTTTTTGCTGTTTGTTTTACTTTAGTTACTTTTTCTCATCCAACCCATAAAATTTAACCTTGTTCATCAGCTCATCTGATACATTTTTATAATAACTAACAGACATCTAATGATCTACCAGTAAGTCTCTATAAAGATGGATGCATTACTTCCAAGCCCAGTCACCATATTAACAGACAATTGGCTCTTTCCCTTCAGCCACCTTACCTTCTTAAAAAGTAGGGGAAAAAGTTATATTAGTAATTTACAGGCTAATGAAAATCAACAAAGCAAAATCAACAGAAGATTGACTCCCAGACAGTGTAATCCTAGAACCTTTTTCCATTTGTGAAGCAAGTATGATATGTACCATCCAAATAAAGAGGTCTCCTTAGATATATTGAATTAACAGCAAAGAAATAATTTTAGAAATCTTATTTCATAAAATAATCAGGGGGAAAAAGGAGAAAAATGAGGTGTGCAAAAATAAGTCACCTCATCTTAGATTTCTTACCATCTTGTAGAGATCTGAGACACTGATCTGGTCAGAATCCACTACTTCAAAGTCTTTTCGAGGCACAAGGTCCAGGCCCAAATGCCTAGTAAATAGAAAGCCACATTTAGCATGCCATGTCCACAGTATTTGTCTCTCTTTATATCCCTGGAAACCTGTAAAATCATGATGTCATGGACAACTGTTCAGGTACTGCTCAGGGGCTATATGCCTGCATCCAGCAACATCTAATTGAGTTCATCTTTGGTTAAACACTAAGGTGAGCACAATTTCAGTCACCAATCAATTTCATCTGTGATAATAAAAAGATTTCTCAGTATCATATTTATAACAGAAACATGGTGTTCATGAAGGATGATTTCCTTTAGATCATTAATAAGTTGTAGTGTTTTAAAATTTCTCCCCATCCTACTAGTATACTTAAGGTTTATCCATGCATGATTTTCATTAGAATGAAAAAATTATTCAGGATTCTAATTGATCTGTAATTCAAAGTCAACAACAATAAAAAATTCCTTCTTAAAGATGCATGTTTTGGTTGAGATCTTATTTTCAATTTAATTAATACTGATACTGATAAGGGACTGAACATATATTAGCATTAACATCTTTAAAAACACTAATGTTAATGTTTATTTATTTGACGAACTTTGCATACCTGTATCTGTTAATCTGAGCAACAGACTTGTTTAAAATACCTAACAACCATTGTAAATTTGCTATTCTTGTTTTGAAATTCTATACCTTATGTATTGTTGTACGTTATTCTGTTTCAGTCTTTGTTTTTGCTATTTGTTTTTGCTATTTGCGTTTACTATTGTTTTTACTCTTTAAAATAAAATTTAAAAACAAAGAATAGTACAACTTAAGACAATAGAAAATGTAGTATAATTTTGGATAGGAAAAAGTGATGATAATTTTGGATAACTAGATGGTAGAATTAAGGAGTGGAAATTACTGTAGACACAACTGAAATTCTTGAGTAAGATACCAAACAAAATTTATATTCAGTAAATGTTAGCTCCTTTCTTATACTTTAGAATAACAGCTTTAATCCTTAGTAGAGTTACAGGACTGTGAACCTCTATGAAACTGCTTAAGATACCACGTGAGTTGCATTGTGTGAGTTCATACTTGAATTTGAATTTTTTGTGAAGAAAAGATCTACACCTCTCAGGAGATTTCAGAGATGCTCTACGTACAGCTGACTTACAGGTTATGAGTTATTGTGTGTGGCAAAGTATTTCATGTAACGTCTGAAAGAGAAACATTTTGCTCTTTAACTTGACTATTAACTATTTTTAGAACATACCAGCAAAGCCAATTCTTCAGTTATTTTCTGTATAAAAAACTCAAACTCATTTAAAATAAATTTTGGGGCTTTGGGAATGTGGTTCAGTGGTGCATATCCTTTCTACCTCGCTTTTCATAAAAGCAATTTATAATATAAAGATAATTTTGAAGCATGATCACAAATACTTAAAATGCTTTTATATACATGTGGAAAATCATGGAAAACAATATTAATATTTATATTCAGAAACTGGAATTATAAAATTGATCTTTTAAGACATTTTCCAAATTTTTATTATGTTATATCATTTTTTTTTTCTGTATTTTAGGGAAGGGTTTACAGGGTGTTCAGGGTCTCACCACTAGATCAGACTCATACTGATTCTCCTGTTTATAGCCTCCCCAATACTGGGATTACAGGCGCATGCCACCATACCCAGTCTCAATCGCCATCTCAGTGAGCCCCGGGGGTGGGGTTGGCAAGGCAGGCCCAGGGATCAAACCCCCAGCCCCTGCACCTGCTTGCAGGTGCTTTAATCTGCTGAGCTATTTGGCCAGCCCTTTATGCTATATCATTTAAACTTTTCTAAATTATAAAAATAAAAAAACAACATTATATACATATTTTTTAATCACTGGAATTCCCTTTGTAACCACAGGGGATTGATTCCAGGACCTCAAGGATACAAAAATCTGAACACCCTCAATCCCCTTACATAAGAATGGTGTGGCATTTGCATATAGCCTGCACACATTTTCCTGTATGCTTTGTATCTTTTCTATATTATGTATAACTCTTAGTAAAACAGAAATGCCAGGTACATATTTGTTATGATGTATTATTGAGGGAAATAACAAAAAAATTAAATGACTGAATATGAATACAGAAGTCAAAATTATATGGAATATTCAAAGTATTGCAATTAGGAAATAAAGAGATAAAAAGGACTAAGTAAATAATCTAACAATATAGTTGCTTTATATCTAACAACTTAAGAAAACCCTAGACAGAATCTAAGTCAGTGAGGCTGGAATTAAAGATATGTGCTCTTTTGTTAGTGCACCATACACAGTGATAAGCCTGTAAGGCATTTACACAAATTCTGTCTTAGCGTTATGGCACCATTAGTTAGTTTGTGTAGTAAACCACTCCCCAAATACCCATTCACCCACTCTACAGATATTTTCTGAGGTCTTGTAATATATTAGACCAAGAATATTGGCTATATGGAATATGGTAATTTTGAGCTAAGCAAATGTTCCTGTTCACCTTGCTTTTCCCATGAGAGCAAAGTGCTTTCCCTGTCCTAGAAATGGATACAACACAGTACCTTTCATTTTCTTGATTTTACTATCTTGAGAAATAACAGAATGACTGACAGATTATCTGGCAAAAACTAAAGACTACCTTCCTTCTACTAAAACTATCTTCAATAGATAAAGGATAATTGGCAAATATTACATTAATGAATATCCTCTTTGGAAGAAGGCAAAGATGTTGCACATGAGAAGCAATACATGTTGACTACCAATTTCACCAGGAAGAAGTGGTTCCTGGCAATTTCTTCCTATGGCTTACTTAGGAACAGTGAAGACAGGGATAGGTCAACATACTCTCTTGCCTATCTTCCATGCTAAAGGAGGCAGTGCAAAAGGGTAGTTAAGAGCATGAGTGCAATTTTTTTTCATTATTCCCTAAATAATACATCATAACAAATATGTAACTGGCATTTCTGTTTTAAAAAGTTATACATAATAAAGAAAAGATATAAAGCATACAGGAAAATGTGTGTAGGCTATATGCAAATTAAGTCAGATTGCTTAGTTTGCATTTGGTTTTTCTATCAAATCATTCTTTTTTTCAGTTTGAAATGCTAATTATATTTTTTTTCTAGGATACATTAAAACCAATATATGTGTCAGTTATCTATTGCTGGAATGTATTGCTATATAACAACTCCAAACCTCAGGGGTTAAAAGCTATTTAATATCCCAGTTTTTCATAGTCAATATTCATTCTCTCTCTCTCTCTCTCTCTCTCTCTCTCTCTCTCTCTCTCTCCCATACTGTTCTCTTTTTTATATCAAGTCATTCTATCACAGGCTGTTGTAAGGATAAATCTATGTAAAGCACTCAGCACTATCACCTGGCAACATGAGCCACTACTGCTATTACAGTAATTACTATGCTGTAATATAATTAACCACAATATGGCTTAAAGTGCAGGAACTGTAATAATAGGGATAATGTCTGAATAAAAAGTTCTTTTGAACAGCTGGGCATAAGCAGGGCACAAGAATCTATTTATACATAGAGATACAGCATAGAGCTGAGTTTTCAAAGTCTAACTGCTAGGGTAAACAGTTTCAATAAAAACACTAAATCTTCCATGATTTATCATTGATCATTAATTCCAACAGCCAATCAACATTTACTAGAACCTAGTCTATGTTTGTCTAAGGCTGTGTTTGGAGACACAGCAGCAAAAACAAAAACATACTCCTAATACTGTACTCTTTCAGGTAGAGCTCTCTGAGGCCGTGAATCTCTACATGAAATTCTTTGAATTGTACATATCAATGTCCTATATCAGTGATGGTAAACCTTTAAAAGCTTTCAATAACAATCATCTGGCTGTGGCACATGTGCCATAGGTTCACTACCATTGTTGTCTTATTCTATTTTATTTTGTCTTTTTCTCCTGGTGATACTTCTAGGAATAAAAAAATAACATGAAACAAACAAACCTGAAACATAGAATGCTAAGTAATTACAGGGGATACTTTGAGACATTAGACCTTACTTCTCTCCCAGAAGTAGCTGAAGCATGGAGATATTAAGGTTTCTTGTGGGCACTGCATTTTTCTAATGTTTTTAATAAAGAGAGTATAGAGTGTGTGGGAGAGCTTCCTGCTACCCTGCAACGGCGGGACCAGTCCCAGCCCAGGCGCAGCATGGGCCAAACCCTCTCCCACCACCTGGGGACACCCCCCACCACTCCGCAGGACATCCGCCACCCTGCCCGCTGAGTAGGAATTTCTGCTGCATTCCAGGAACCCCCAGACCCAATCCTAGCCCAGACCCAGTGAGTGTGAGAGAGAGCTTCCTCTCACCCCGACTCCACCTTAACCCCTCCAGGCACAGATGAGGTCTGGCATACATGCCTGGGAAGTAACCCTGCAGTGCAATCCCTGCAGAAAGTGTACAGGATAGATACACCCAGCTAGTCTAGGAGCAGAACATCTTGCCACCGGGGCACAACAGGTTCACCCTCAAGGACAGCAGCGGGAAGGAGCTGAGCACCGCAGCCAGACTCAAGCAAGGCACAGCTGGATAAGTCCAAACTTTGCAGAGATGCACCTGAACTTCAGTACGTGCGAAGGTTATAACTACAGCAAAGATCTACAACAAAGGTCAAAAGACAGTGCTACACAAAATGACGAGAGGGAATAAAATGCAACCTCAGAACCCAACCCCACCTGGAAAAAGTGCAGAGAACACTAACACAGAACAAACTGGGACTCACACAGCTGAAACAATGAATCAACAGGTTCTGAAATAAAGAAACAGATGCAGAAAGGTATAGAGGACCTCAGATTGGAAATAAAAAAAGAAATCCCTGAATTAATAACATCTGCACATAAGAATCAAATGCAGAAACATATGGAGGACACTCAGTGCACACCCAGAACAACTGCGGAGGACACTAGCTCAGCTCAAATGCATGAATTAATACTGTCGATAGTAAATAAGCAACGGCAGAAAGATACACAGAAAATCAGAGTGCAATTC